AGGTTATGAAATTTTATTAATTTTTGCGTGAATAGTAAGGTCGCACGTGGGGCCCGCACCGGGAGCGGGGGCCGCCCGATATTCCCGGGACCACATAAATTATTCATCTTGGTCTAGATGATATTTATATGGTGGTGGATAATTCATTTGAACCATGGAAAGGTCTTGAGTTGACCGATTGGTCAAAAGAGGCCCAAGTACCGGTATTGGCAATTTAACCGATAAAAGCCCAAAATTTAATTTCGGGGACTTATAAATTAAAATTGGGGAATGAATATTCATTATAAGGGTTATAATGATGGAGAACACATAATATATTTTATTTGACCCGATAAAATGAAATATATTTAAAACAGTCCGAAAAATACAACTTTCGGGACAAAGTGTACACTTCTGGACAAAAGGGGTTGACCTCCCACATGGGTGGGGGCCAACCAATGAAATTAGACACATTTTTTCATGCCTTGTCCGGCTGGGTGGTGGAAGGGGCATGGGTGATGTGTGTGAAGTGAAAGAAGAAGCATCAAACAAAAAAAAAAGGGGGGGGACCACATCCACCCCATTTGATCTTTGAGACAAAAGATCATCCCCTCACCTCTCTCTCCCTCATTTCTCTCGGCCAGAACCAACCCCAGCAAGAGAAGAAAATCCCCATCCTCCCTTTTCCCATCCTTGAAGAGAGCTCAAGCAATAGAAGTCCAAGGGGAAAGATTAAAAGGAGAAAAAGCTAGGAAAAGTGAGAAAGATTAAGGTAATAACCTTATATTAACTTTTCCTTTATTTTTCTTCTATCATATGTGATATATATCATATGAAGGACCTTGAGGTTGTTCTACATAATTAAAGTGTGGAATAATAGGTTGGAGAGTGGTTCTAAGTCCAAAAACGGACTTAGGAACCAAACCGACAAGTTCACCGGAAAATAACCTTTTAAAGGTTACTTGTTTTGATTAAGGTTTTATGATGTTAAAACCTTGTTAGGAACTTGATTAGAGCATTTTCGAGCTTCGCCGGAGTTTCGCCGGAGTTGGTCAAAGTTCGCCGGAGTTGGTCAAAGTTCACCGGAATTAGTCAAAGTTCAACCGGGAAGCGTCGAACGCGCTTAAGCTCACTTAATGTGAGGATGACCGACTATATTGCTTATAATTATTGGGTTAATTTCATAAGATTACCTAAATGAATTATATGTGTTTGGCATGATTTATTTATAATAAAAAAGGAAATGCCTAAATGAGATTATTATTGTTTATAAGTAAAAATGCATAATATACAAATTTATGAACAAATTGTGTATGATTGTGTGTTATGAATACAATGACATAATAGTTGTGTAAACTATAAACTAAATTGTGATAAATATACTTTTACCTCATGTAAGAAAGTCATGGAAGGATAAAAGTGATATTTTGATATTAGAGCCAAGTTATACTTGAATGAGGAATTTAATTGAAATATTCAAATTGTTATGAACTCAAGTTACATTTAGAGTAAGACTTAGGGGTTACTCAAAATGGATGGAACCTAGACTAAGAGGTGGTTTAGGGATTAGTTGACGTGACTATGAGCCGAGCTCTAGCACGTGGTAGGGTGACTATGAGCCGAGCTCTAGCACAAATTAGTATGACTATGAGCCGAGCTCTAGCAAGCGTAGGGTGACTATGAGCCGAGCTCTAGCACAAATTAGTATGACTATGAGCCGAGCTCTAGCAAACGTAGGGTGACTATGAGCCGAGCTCTAGCACAAATTGATATGACTATGAGCCGAGCTCTAGCATGGAGGACATGAGTTAATTATAAATGAATAACATCATAGATTGAGGGTCTTGGAAATTGAAACTTTGATTATACTTAGTATAGTTGTCATTGTACTTGTCAAATGCTTCCAAGTACTGACCTCCCCTTCACGGGGGAGGCCACCTCACAGTTTCAGGTAGAACTTGAAGGTTGCTACCATCGCCGTTGCTCCAAGAGAATTCAGGAGAAGAAGACGTGGTTCGTGCTTCCTCCGTTCCTGTTTTAAAATCGTTTAAATTAATGCTCATGGATGTTATCTTTTGAATAATTATTTGATGGCTTGTATGCCCATGTTTCGCCAAGTGTGGCATGAAGTCTTGAACACTTGTATCAAACGTTTCCGCTGCTTTGAATGAATATTTTACATTATGTTTGTTTATGGATGTACTATGTGTGAATGATATCTCAGACGCCTTGTATAGTATGAATGTGTTGGACTGCGGTTGACTATTCGTACTGTACGGCGGATTGTTGACGTGTCCGGATAGGCCCGGGGCGTGACAGAGAATACTAGTTATTATAAATAGAGAATGGTTTTTAAATTGATATTTGAATTGATATTGTTTAATTTAGTATATTTATTTTATTTAATGTGTTTTAAGAAATGTTTAATTTTCTCATCAAATACTTAATTTAAAGTTGATATTTTTCAGTATGTATGTTTTTGAGCAAATTTATTATTCTTTATTTTGTTACTTAACAAAATACATATGATTGTACTAATTTTAATAATATGCTTTTTCACTCTTGTCGGCTTAATGTTGGACGTTGGATTAATGTTTGATCAATGTAATTGTTGACGATCAACTTGACCAGATCAATCTGCCACAAGTTTGGTTATGTTTTCTTTTCAACTTAATTGATTTGAAAGTATTTCAAAATAAATATTATTTCATTATATGAATAATAAAATTCATTCAATATGTATATTTTCAAAATTGATTGATTTGTGGACCTATTCAAGAGGCAATCATTGTAGCTAACCATTGGACTACCACATTGGTGGAAAATGGATTAGCTACAATGTTTTTAGCTAACCGCTGGAGATGTTCTTAGTAATTAAATTGGTTGATGTTACTTTTTCAGTTTTCATGACCATTTTAACTATTTTTGAAATCATAATTAAGGTTTAACTATTCTATTGGACATAATTTTCTGGTCGGTTTGTGTGTGGTCCGGTCTACATTGGTCTGATAAATGTCTGATTCGTATGTATTTTATAATCGGTGAAGCCTCGTGATCATATGATCAGTTTAAAATTGGTATGGTCTCATCTGATATAGAATAAAACTATTTCAAATAAAAACATATTTGGTCCGTTAAAGGTTTAATACAAGTATATGCCAAATGGCATAAGCTGTCTAAGGCTAATTTAGTTTTATCTATTTAAATGTGATTTAATTTAGTTTGTTTTGACAGTCAAACAAGTTAGGGTTGGTTTGCAACTACCTTTTAAAAAACACTTCTCAGTTTTTTGTCTTTAAAAAGCACTTATTTTCCCAAACACTACAACTTTTATTTATCTCGGTTTCTGCGTCAAAAGTGCTTTTACTTTTTCTACTATACAAAAAACACTTATTTTACCAAACACTACCTACTTTTACTTTTCAAAATCATTTTTTTCTCAAACACTATCAACTTTTATTTAATCATGTCTCCTCATTTCATTAAAAAAAGTATCTTTTTAAAAACGGAAGCCGTTGCAAACCGACTCTTAGTGAGAACATGTTCAATATTACACGGCCATCCTATCTCTTAAAATAAGGATGTTTTCTTTTGGACTGAAATTTGCTGGTCTGGTCTGGTCTGTTTAAGTCTGGTCTGGTCTGGTCTGTTTAAGTCTGGTCTGGTCTGGTCTGAACTGGTCTGGTCTGGTCTGGTAAACGTCTGGTCTCGGTGTATTTTATAACTACGGAAGTCTGGTCTGGTCTGGTCTGTTTAAGTCTGGTCTGGTCTGGTCTGGTCTGTTTAAGTCTGGTCTGGTCTGGTCTGGTCTGTTTAAGTCTGGTCTGGTCTGGTCTGAGACTGAAAACAGTCCAAAAGAAAACATCCTAAGTCAACAAGGATGGGTCCCGTAGTTCGAATATGGGCAAAATTAACATCAGAAAATTCATCAGAAATTTTAATTTGATTACTTTAAAACATACTCGTAGATAGAATGTACAAAATGAAATTATTTTATTTTTAAAATATGACTTGTCATACATAGTTTTCTTCTAATTTGATTATTAAGTTTTAAAACCCATTTAAGTGATGGCGGATAATTGAAAGACCCCGGAAGATCCTACCCACACCCAACAATGGCTTCTGCCGCCGAAATCATCGGCACCAATATAGAAACTTTTGCTCTGTTCTTATTAACAGTTCTACTCCTTTATACCCTGTGGCGGCTTTATTTCGGAAATCCATTCGAGCCAGCTAGCCCGTTACCGCCGGGACCGTTCGGTTTTCCGGTAGTCGGATACCTGCCGTTTCTCCGCCCGGATCTTCACCACCAGTTCACGGATCTCGCCGGAAAGTACGGCCCCATCTTCAAGCTCAAACTAGGAAGCCGGCTGTGCATGGTGGTGAGCTCGCCGTCCCTCGTGAAAGAGATCGTTCGCAACCAAGATGCAATTTTCGGTAACCGCCACCCGACGGCGGCGGCACTGATAGCCACGTACGGCGGCCGTGACATCGCCTTTGCGCCCCTCGGCAATCACTGGCGCGAAGCCCGGAAGATTTTTGTCCGGGAGTCGGGAGATGCTGAGCAGCAAGAACATCAGAGCCTGCCATGATCACCGGCGAGAAGAGGTCAGAAAAGCGATCAGAAGTCTGAAGTCAAAGTCCGGTCAACCTGTGAACATTGGGGAATTGGCTTCTTTGACTGAAATGAATGTAGTGACGAGAATGATTATGGGGAGTACCTTAGGATCTGATGAAGAAAAGCGTGAGAAGGTTGGGGAAATGTTCAGGGAGGTGATGGGTAAATTTGTGGCCACACTTGGGGAGCCTAATATATCTGACTTTTTCCCATGGCTGGAAAGGCTTGATCTGCAGGGAATTCAGAGGAAGATGGGTAATTTAGTTAAGGTTGTAGGAGATATTCTTGAGCCCATCATTGAAGAAGGGGAAAAAATGGTTTCTGAGAAGTCTCAGAGAGATGGGAGGAAGGATGGTGATGAGAAGGATTTTATGCAGATTCTCTTAGAGCTGAAGGCTGGTGAAGCTGGCAAATTTTTGGATTTAGGTGCAATCAAAGCCATCTTGGAGGTATCTTTTTCAGTCTGATTTGGTACTCTGTTATTCTCTTGTGTCTAGTACTCTTCCTGTACAAAAGTACAAAACCTGAGTGACTGAGTGCTCCCAAGTTTTTCCTAAATTTTCTGTTCATTGGCTCTGCCCCCCAGCAAATGGGGTTTAGCCACATGTCCATACCCAGTAGTACGAGCGAACCGGTAGACCACTTGGTTGCTGGCTCGATAAAATCATGACTTTTTTCAAAATTATCAAGAAAATTTAGAATACTTTTAAAATGATATTACGACAGTTTAAAAATGTTAAGCATTTATAATATGAGATATTACCCGAAATAGGACTAAAAATGTTCGAAAATTCCAAAACAGGACTGTCATATTTTTATTCCCAAAATAGGACTAATTACTGTCATATTTTGGCAGTACCAGACTTCAAACAAGGCAGTATTTTCCAAACTTGACAGTAAGTACTCCTATTTTGAGAATAAAAAACATGGCAGTCCTATTTTGGAATTTTCAAACTGTTTTAGTCCTATTTCGAGAACTTTCCCTTATAATATTCACCGGTCTTCCACCACATAAAAGAAAAAATGTGTACACAAAATAATAATGATAAGTTATAACTAAAACATATTCCCTTCCTCCCATTTTACTTAGTCAAACTTGACTTTTCAAGTCAATGGTGTCTAACTTTGACCGATTTATGATTATATAGAGAAAGTATTGATAATATGAAAATGATATGAAAATGTTCTTTGTTAAAAATACAATCATAAGAATATAAAATTATTAAATTTTTCAATAAATATATTAGTTAAAATCAGGGGCGGAGCCAGGAGGTGAGGGTGGGGTGGGGTGGGGGGGGGGGGCAAAATGCTATTACATAATATACTCCTCTTAAAGTTTATTAAATTAGTATCCCATTTTTTTCTTATAATTCTTTTATATTAGATACTTTAAGACGGATATGTCCAATACTACTCCATAATATATTATTAATAATACATTTTTACATACGGAGTACCGAGTATTATTTATGGGGTAATAATCACTTCTTCAAAATATAGTGTTGGTATAGATTAATATTTTCCAAAATGACTACTTCTAGAATATACTACGTATAATGTTTTTATACATATGATATTTTAATAAAGTATTGAAAAATTATAAATATAGTACGGAGTATAACTATAAACATATTTTGAACTACTATACTACTAGAGGAAATACAATTTTGGGGGGGAATAAATTACAAGCCAATAATTAAAAAATAAAAATGTTGGGAGGGGCAATGGCCCCCTAGACATATGCATAGTTCCGTCCCTGGTTAAAATAATTGGTCAAAGTTTACCATCTTTGACTGGAAAAGTCAAAGATGGCTAAGTAAATTGGGACGGAGGTAGTACTACGTAATATTCAAGTACGAAGTATTAGGGAGTGTCTTTTAGTGTATGAATAGATATTATATTGGTTTTAGCTAGTACTACGTAGTTAAGAACTAAAAACTTAAACTTAAACATAATAAACCATAAATATGTATCGATATAGTAAGTCACATACACGTCCACATGTAAACAAATAAATTAATAAGTCATTATATATAAACCTAAAATAGATTTTTGTTCTGGTGAGAAACACATCTAATTTGAGAAATGAGAATGAATCTTAATCGTTTAGATTTATAAATTGCATTGAAAAGGGTTTATGTTGCATGAAGATTTAAATTTTACGGAGTTGCACTAAAAATTCATAATGCACTAATATTTGACAATGTTGTACTAAATCAGTTTCACGTTGCACTAGAGATGTGTAACACAAATTTTTCAAATGTATTTACAAAAATGCCACCACACATAATTGCATTTGGTGTAACATAAATATCTTTTAGTGCACATAGTCGAATCCAATGCCTGAGAGTTATTATCATTTTTCATCTAAAGCATGCTTCTTATTTGAACCTCACCCACCCAAAATATATGTGTGTATATATGTATATGCATCTATATGAGGTTTTTGTTTAAATATAACTAAAATAATATGCATGAACCTAAAAAAATAAAGGAAATTTCCCGAAATAGGACTAAAACAGTTTGAAAATTCTGAAATAGGACTGACATATTTTTTATTCCCAAAATAGGAGTAATTACTGCTAAGTTTGGAAAATACTGCCATGTTTGAAGTCTTGTACTGCCAAAACATGACAGTAATTAGTCCTATTTCGGGAATAAAAACATGACAGTCCTATTTTGGAATTTTCAAACATTTTTAGTCTCATTTTAGGTAATATCTCAAAAAATAATGGATATAACACTAAAACGACATAAAACCAAGCAAGAGTAGTTATACTCAACCAATTGATCTAACACATACACACAAAATACTTCATTTATGCAAATCATGTTTGTTAAGTTTGATCACAAACAGAACATACACGTGTTTGCGTGAAAAAATTATAAGTCATAGACAAGAAATTTCTGAGCAAGTTAAACATACATTAGTCTGTGCATGTAGCCAAGTAGGTCTATGTGCATTAGTTTTATGTATGAATAGTTAACCTGTTTTTCTTCACACAGACATGATTTGTACGCACTAATTTGAGAAATATAGATTATTTGTGTGAAATTGTGTATAAAATGTGCACACCATGCGGTGTACAAACATCAATTATTGTTTAATTATATTGGGATGAACTTCCTTAAGACACTTAATAGACATGGTTGTGTTAATTATATACTCTTTCCTTAAAAATTTCCTGGTTTGAAACTTGTTTCCTACCTCCGAATATAATTGCATTATTGCTTTTAGGATATAGTGATAGGGGGAACAGACACAACAGCGACGACAGTGGAGTGGGTCATGGCAGTGCTTCTTGATAATCTAGAGGTCATGAAACAGGTCCAAAATGAGTTGGAGCAGATAGTTGGAATGAACTCTACTGTGGAAGAACTCCATTTACCTAAGCTTACCTATTTGGATGCTGTTGTGAAGGAAACTTTGCGTCTACATCCTCCACTCCCACTCCTCGTCCCCAGGTGTCCAACAGCAACTTCACAAGTGGGCGGTTACACAATCCCAAAAGGCACTAGGGTCTTTCTGAATACATATGCCTTACACAGAGATCCTCAGCTTTGGGACAATCCGTTGAAGTTCATGCCAGAAAGGTTCCTCGATCCGGGTTTGGTTTCGGGATTGGATTACACCGGGAATGATTTTCGGTTTCTTCCTGTGAAAGACATTGGAATATGCTGTATAATATGCTTTAGAATATTCTTCTATCTTTAGAATATGCTTTAGAATATTTTAGGAATATACTCTAGGATATTATTATTGTATAGCATCTTATAGGAATATTCTATCTTTGTAATGTATATATATAGGGACTTAACCCTCCAAAGAAATACACAGAAAATTCTTCCATTCTCATTACTATTATATGCTTAATTCTGATAACATGGTATCAGAGCCTACCATTTCAATTTAGCTTCTTCTTCTTTTTTTTGGCTGGTTCCTTTGTATACAGAATATCAGTTTAGTTCAGAATCTCAGTTCAGAACATTGTTTCTCTAAGCAGTTCACAGAACCTCTGTATTCTTTTCAGCTTAGTTTTCCATATCTCAATTTAGTGGTCAGACTGGATTCTTTCCCGAAGAGCTTGAGTTCAGTCCAGAATCTTCAGAACCTCTAGGCACCACTGTCTACAAGAATCTCCAGTACAGGCACTCTAATTACCCTTAAACCAGAACCTCTATCAGAACCTTAGTCCATCTCTGTCAGGTCCATCCATCTTCCCTGGCCAGAGATTTGATCAGAATTTTTCCAGAAGACTCGCCTAAGAAGACTCTACCACCAGGTGGACGGACATCTGTGGACATCCACATCTTCGTCTGGTTGTTCGCGCTGGGGTCTCCCATATCTGTGGAAATTTGCTCGTCTGGTTGTTCGCGCTGGGGTCTCGCTTGGGATGCTTCCTCTCCTTCGCGGATGATTCGCCGTTCGCGTCTGGTTATCTTATTCTCCGCATCAGTCAACGCCAAGCTGGATATCTTAGTCTCCAAGTTTTAAGTCCACAGTCGGGAACCCTACTGTAAGATTTCAGAATATCTCATTTTGTTTTAATATTATTATTGTCTCTTAAAAGAAAAAAAAAAAAGAAAAAAAAAATGCCTGGTTCTGACACTGACACCTCCGCAGTAACACAAAGTCAGCCTTTGATAGTTTCTGAAGTTATTCCCATTAATTTTAAAATTACTGAGAATAAACTTTGTGGCTCCAATTATCTTGAATGGAGTAAAACTATCAAACGTTATTTAAGGAGCATTGATAAATATACCCACTTAGTTGATGACCCGCCAAAGGAGGAGGTTGATAGAGCTGCTAATACTGCCTGGCTTCGTGACGATTCTAGATTATTTATCCAGATTCAAAACTCAATGGAGAATGAGGTAATGGGGTATATTAGTCATTGCGATACTGTGAAAGAACTGTTTGATTATTTGGAATTTATGTATTCTGGAAAAGGTAATCTTAACCACATCTATGAGGTGTGCAAAGCCTTTTACAGAGCAGAAATGAAAGATAAGCCTCTCACGGGTTATTTTATGGATTTCAAGAAAACCTATGAAGAGCTGAATACATTAATGCCATTTAGTCCTGATATCAAAGTGCAGCAGAAACAAAGAGAACAAATGGCAGTGATGAGTTTTTTGGCTGGTCTAACATCTGAATTTGAAACAGCCAAATCACATATCTTATCTAGTGATGAGGTCTCTTCTCTTCAAGAGTCTTTCACTAGAGTGCTTCGCACCGATACTTCATCCACGCCATTAGCACCTCAGTCAAGCAATGCATTTGTAGGGCAAGTTCCGACATTCACCAGAGGAAGTGAGAAATATCCACGTACTGGCCCATCTGGCAAAGGCGTAGTATGCAACTACTGTAAAAAGCCTGGACACTTGATCAAAGATTGTAGAAAATTAAAATTCAAAAATCAAGGAAATCAGGTTGCTCACATTGCTTCCGCTACACAGTCTTCTGATGGATCAATAAGTATGTCTTCTGAGGAATACGCCAAATTTCTTTGCTACCAAGAGACTCTAAAGCATTCATCTACTCCTATCTCAGCTGTCGCTAATTCAGGTAATCCAAACACATGTCTTGTGTCTTCATCCTCAAAATGGGTTATCGATTCAGGGGCAACAGATCATATGACAGGTAATCCTAGTCTTTTTTCCTCATTCCACACACCTCTTCATACTTCTAGTGTTACTTTGGCTGACGGATCTACGTCACCAGTTCTTGGAACGGGTATAATTGTCCCAACACCTACCTTACCTTTGTCACCCGTCCTAAGTCTTCCTAACTTTGCCTTTAATTTGATTTCGATCAGCAAAATCACACGTAATCTTAATTGCTCTGTAACCTTTTTTCCTGGATATTGTGTATTTCAGGATCTGGTGACGAATCGGGTTATTGGTAAAGGATATGAGTCGGCTGGTCTCTATCTCTTGGATACATCCTTACCCAAATCCATCTCTTGTCTTGGAGTTGGAACTGTGTTAGAGGCTCATTATCGACTAGGCCATCCCTCTCTCCCGTTGTTAAAGAAACTTCATCCTCAATTTAATAAGGTGTCATCTTTACAGTGTGATTCATGTCAATTTGCAAAACATCATCGAACTAGTTTAAGTCCCCGAGTCAATAAACGAGCACACGCTCCTTTTGAACTTGTTCATTCTGATGTTTGGGGCGCTTGCCCTGTTGTGTCCAAAACTGGTGTTAAATATTTTGTTACCTTTGTTGATGATTATTCTCGTATGACTTGGATATATTTTATGAAACGTCGTTCTGAGTTATTTTCTCATTTTTGTGCCTTTTGTGCTGAAATTAAAACTCAATTTAATGTACCTGTTCGTATTTTAAGGGGAGACAATGCTCAAGAATATTTATCTTCCTCATTTAAGTTGTATATGGCTCAACATGGCATCATTCATCAAACTTCATGTGTAGATACACCTCCCCAAAATGGAGTTGCTGAACGCAAGAACAGACATCTATTAGAAACTGCGCGGGCTCTTCTATTCCAAATGAATGTGCCTAAACAGTTTTGGGCAGATGCTGTGTCTACAGCATGTTTTTTGATCAATAGAATGCCATCTACTGTCTTGGATGGTAAAACTCCATATCAGTGCCTATTTCCAAATAATGAAAATTTTCCTATCCCTCCTAAAATATTTGGTTGCACTTGTTTTGTACGAGATGTTAATCCCCATTTAACAAAGTTAGATCCCAAGTCATTAAAGTGCATTTTCTTAGGCTACTCTCGAGTTCAAAAGGGTTACAGATGTTTTTGTCCAAGTACGGGTCGATATCTTGTTTCAATTGATGTCTCCTTTCATGAAAATACACCGTTTTCATCAACAGAGACAAATATTTGTAGGGAGAATGATGATGTACTCATTTACACAGTCACTATACCCGAGTCCACTGCTTCAGCCGTTGTTCCACATGTTACTTTTCCTGAGCCTAGTCCCCCGGTACACTTGGTCTACACCCGTCGAAACAAAGTACAAGATCCCCCTCCACCTGTGGTTACTTATCCTGATACTGATCCGGTCTCGATCTCATGTCCTGAACCAATACCTGCATCTCCAGATCCTGCCTCTACATCAGATCTTGACCTCCCTATCGCACTACGTAAAGGTACACGGTCTTGTACTCATCCTATTTCTTCATTTGTGTCGTATAATCAGTTATCATCTGCCTCATGTTCTTTTATTGCTTCCATTGATTCTATTTCTGTTCCCAAATCTGTTAAAGACGCTTTGTCCCATCCTGAATGGCGTCATGCCATGGTAGAGGAAATGAATGCTTTGGATCTTAATGGTACTTGGGATTTGGTAGACTTGCCTACAGGGAAGAAATCTATTGGATGTAAGTGGGTCTTTGCTGTAAAGGTTAACCCCGACGGCTCCGTTGCTCGGTTGAAAGCCCGATTAGTAGCGAAGGGTTATGCTCAAACCTATGGGGTTGATTATTCTGACACTTTTTCTCCTGTTGCTAAATTAACATCTGTCAGGTTACTTATTTCTCTCGCTGCAACTAATGGTTGGCACTTACATCAGCTGGACATTAAAAATGCATTCTTGCACGGTGATCTTCAGGAGGAAGTTTATATTGAGCAACCTCCAGGGTTTGTTGCTCAGGGGGAGTATGGAAAAGTGTGTCGACTTCGCAAGTCTCTTTATGGTTTGAAACAGAGTCCCCGTGCATGGTTCGGGAAATTCAGTCAATCAATTGAACGATTTGGAATGATAAAGAGCAAATCAGATCACTCTGTATTTTACAGACAAACGAAAGCAGGTATCACATTGCTTGTGGTGTATGTCGATGATATTGTGATTACAGGGAGTGATAATGCAGGTATTTTGGCTCTTAAGAATTTTCTTCATAGTCAATTCCAGACGAAAGATTTGGGCTCATTGAAATACTTCTTGGGGATTGAGGTTATACGGAGCAAGAAAGGCATATTTCTATCTCAACGTAAATATGTGCTTGACTTGCTAACTGAAACAGGGAAATTGGGGGCAAAACCGAGCAATACTCCCATGATTCCCAATGTGCAGCTCACTCATGAAGGCGTACCATTCAAAGATCCAGAAAGATATAGAAGGTTGGTTGGAAAGCTTAATTATCTCGCAGTTACCCGTCCAGATATTGCGTACTCAGTGAGTGTAGTAAGTCAATATATGTCATCTCCGACAGTTGATCATTGGAATGCTGTAGAGCATATATTATGTTACTTGAAGGGGACACCAGGACGAGGTATTGTTTATCAAAATCATAATCACATGAGAATAGAATGCTTTGCAGATGCTGATTGGGCTGGATCTAAAGATGATAGAAGATCCACATCTGGCTATTGCGTCTTTGTTGGTGGTAATCTCGTCTCTTGGAAAAGTAAGAAGCAGAATGTGGTTTCTCGTTCGAGTGCTGAATCAGAATATCGGGCTATGGCACAATCGGCATGTGAGATAATCTGGATAAATCATCTATTGAGTGAAATCGGACTGAAGACACCAATGCCTGCTAAACTCTGGTGTGATAACCAGGCTGCTATACACATTGCCAACAACCCAGTGTTTCATGAGAGAACAAAACATATTGAGGTCGATTGTCACTTTGTTCGAGAAAAGATACAACAAGGATTGATCTCTACAGGATATGTGAAGACGGGAGAGCAACTTGGAGACTTGTTCACTAAAGCACTAAATGGAATTCGTGTTGGTTATTTATGTAACAAGTTGGGCATGATAAATATCTATGCTCCAACTTGAGGGGGAGTGTGAAAGACATTGGAATATGCTGTATAATATGCTTTAGAATATTCTTCTATCTTTAGAATATGCTTTAGAATATTTTAGGAATATACTCTAGGATATTATTATTGTATAGCATCTTATAGGAATATTCTATCTTTGTAATGTATATATATAGGGACTTAACCCTCCAAAGAAATACACAGAAAATTCTTCCATTCTCATTACTATTATATGCTTAATTCTGATAACACTTCCGTTTGGGTCGGGAAGGAGAATCTGTGCTGGGATTCCCCTGGCTGAGAAAATGCTTATGTACATTTTGGCCTCGTTGTTGCATTCCTTCAACTGGCGGCTTTCTGAAGGGGAAAAACTGGATTTGTCAGATGGGTTCGGAATAGTCGCTAGGAAGAAGACTCCTTTGATTGCTGTCCCAACTCCGAGGTCATCCAACTCTGAGCTTTATCATTAAAGCTCGGAGAATCATAACTTAATGAAATAACATGTTACTTTCAAGTTAAACTATGTTTATGTATATAAGCGGCACGCAGACCTCAAATTACAGAAAGATCATTTTCTTATTGTTATCTTATCTTTTGATACATTACTCTCACTCTCTCACACATAGACACACATGCATATCATACATGCTGCATGCATATCATACAGAGTAAATGTTTAGAAAATCAAGTTCTTTTATAAAGTAGAGGAAAATTAAAAGAGAACTTCTGATAACTAAAAGATATGATTGATACACATAGACACACATGCATATCATACCTTTTAATTGATAACTAAAAGGGAGTGTTTGCAACTGCTTAAAAAAAAGCACTTCTCACTTTTGGCTTTAAAAAGCACTTATTTACCAAACACTACCAATTTTTACTTTTTCTCGGCTTGCGTGTGAAAAGTGCTTTTCTCTTTTCTATTACACAAAAAGCACTTATTTTACCAAACACTACCAACTTTTACTTTTAAAAATCACTTTTTTCTCAAACACTATCAACTTTTACTGTTAATCACTTTTTCCTTACATCTCCAAAAGTGCTTTTTTTTTAGCAGAAGCAGTTGCAAACACTCCCTAAGTCCATGTTGATTCCCAAATGGCGAAGAAGGCTTTTAGTTAAAAGGAAGGAACTAGTAACATTTAGGAGGTGTTTCGAATTGATTCTACTTTTGCTTAGCTTCTTTTCTAAACGCAGAAGTAGAATCAGAATTAGTTTTTCAGAACCTGATCTCCTCAACTTCTAAAACAACTGCTTGTAGGAGTAATTTGGAACACCCTGAAATACTTCTGAACTTTCACCCAAACACCCCAATATCTGATTCTTCTCCTTGAAGGAGCATAAGCAAATTTCAAAAGTAGATCCAAGCATCCCCTTTAATTACAATTGTGCTACTTGTACATCAATGTACAAATCAAATTTACACGCCCAAGTGTAATTGTCAATGTATAGTCTACCACCCCAAAAAAATGAATTGTCTGCACACAGACAATTACACTTGAGCGTGTAAATCAGCGTGTACAAATAACATTTTTCTTTAGATTATGGGTTAATTTTTATCTATACAAATTATCAAAGAAATGGTAATTATATTGGAATTCCTTGTTATGTTGACAGCGATGATAATGACTCCCAATTCTATCTAATTGCGATGATCAAAATTAACTGATTTTACAACTCTTCTTTGAGATTTTATTTTCTAATTATTGATGGGTACTGGTGGTTTAGTTTTTTTGGATGAACTGGTGGTTTAGTTATAAACCATTATAATATAAGGATAGTCAATCAGGTAAAGTCACTTTTAAGGAAAAACAAAATAATAATTATTTTATGGGTAAAATAAAAGTAGTGGATAACCATTATCACGTTCACTTTAACACTATAATTACCGTGATGACATGCTCATAGTACTTTAATAGTATACGAAGTACTTGTATGATATTTCATGCCCCAATACTCCAATAGTCTTCAAATATCATATTTTTGGATTACAGTGTTTTCTTTATCTCCACGAGGGCATAAATTATCATCATGCCTATTGAGATTGTGCTCAATGTATTTAAGATATCACCAACTTTATCTACAAAGAAAAAGTTAATTTTGAATCGTATAATTTAAAATAAAAAGTTAATCGCTACTCCAAATGTAAAAAAGTAGATTTACCTAATTTGGACAGATGTCCGTAGATCACTCGTACACCCAAAGCACCCAAAAAGAAGATGAAGAAAATGAAAAGTAAAGGAAAACAAAAGGAAAAGACAATGGGAAAAAACCCTATAAAAATAGTCCAAGTGTCCAAGTCACCTGCCGAATTGGGTCCTGCAGGTCACGGGTTCCTATATCGTACACCCCAATGTACAGGTACATCCAGGTATTTTTGAAATTCTTTCTAATTTGTAATTGGAAAAGAAGGCTTTAACTAACGAGACTCATCACCGGCGAAGTAGCTAGACTGCGAAGCCAAAACTCGGAAGACGCTGCCCGGCTGGCTTCAATTTACCAACTCTTGCAATTCTGATTTCAATTCACTCTTTTTCTCTGTTTAATATCTTCCTTTATGGCTTGCCGCCCTGTTCTTCTCCAGAAGGCAATTGTGCCTTATAGAAATCCAAGTTCCAACCTCCCAATCCAAGGTATTATTAATACTTACTCCGTATTAAGCATATAGCTTCACACCTTGACTGTCTTCAATTGTTATGCAATTGGCCGTGAATCGGAACTTGGGGTCGGGAGTTCTACGGGCTTCAGGAACACTGCTCAATGCTATTGTTAAGAACAGGTTGTCTCTTTAATCATTATATTTTTGAAATTCTTTCTAATTTGTAATTGGAAAAGAAGGTTTCAACATCCGGGATCCAAGGAGCAAGAAGCACAAAGATGGCCGGACACGACCGATGTCACTACAGCCGTTAGAGCTACAAGCACACCAGACTAACCCCCATAGATGACCATGGGATTGGGACAAACCACGTTTCCTTCATCTTCTTCATCAGTTGGATGAAAATCACATGCCCCCCGGACTAATTTGTTTATCATCGATACTCATTTTGTACGTTATGTATGCTCATTTGGTGCCACTGTTCTGCTCACTTTAAAATGTTATATCAATGCATATTTCAAATGCACCACATTACATTAAGTTCACATAGGAGTTGATTATAAATATGTTTATATTATACTCAAATTAGTATACGCCTACAAAGAATGAACGTCCACAAATGATTTTTTGAATTTCTAGATACTCATTATGTACGTTTTGATGTTCATTTGGTACTGCTGTTATGCTCATTTCAAAATGTAATTTTAATGCGTATTTCAAAAGCATCATATTACATTAGATTCACATAGTAGTTGATTATAGACATGAGAGTAAAAATCACGATACTCAATCGTACTATTCTAATACTCAGTAGTGGAGGTTTGATGCTCACTGAAAATGTCTTGATGCTCAACTAACAAAATTTAAAATTTTCATATTAATGCTCATTTTGTAATTTATGTATGCTCATTTCGTACTGATTGCTCATTAAATAATCTAAGAACTTCAATAAGTGAATCTAATGTCATATGCAACTTTTAAATTATGCATGGATATATTTTAAAAATGAGCATAATATAAGTACCAATTGAGTAAAGTAACTTACAAAATGAGTATTGCTATGAAAAAACATATTTTTTTAGTTGAACTTCAAGACATTTTTATTGAGTATCAAACATTCTCTATTGAGTATTGAAAACACGCAATTGAGTATCATGATCTGTGCTCTCATATATATAATCAACTCCTACATGAATCTAATCTAATTAATATGATGCTTTTAGAATATGCATTGACATTTTAAGTTGAGCATAACACCGGTATAAAATGAGCATACATTACTTACCAAATGAGCAATGAACATCGTAAGCACTGTACTCATAATTGTCTTCTTTAAGTGCACATTCGCTTTATATATTATACTCATTTAAGTATACAATAAAACTCATTTTATTGATATGCATTGATAAGACATTTTGAAAATGAGCATAAATGAGAATCAATTGAGCATACGTAACTTAAAAAATGAACATTGATATGAAAATCATAGTGTTTTTTAGTTGAGTATCAAGATATTCTCAGTGAGCATTAAACATCTTCTATTGAGTATATAAATATGCAATTGAGTATCATGGTCCGTGTTATATTATCTATAATCAAATTCTACGTAAATCTTATATAATATGATACTTTTGAAGTATGCATTGATATATAATTTTAAAATGAGCATAACACTAGTACCATCTGCGCATACATAACTTATCAAATGTGCAATGATATTGAGTATTAGAAGCATGCAATTGAGTATTATGATCTCTGCTCCCATTCGAATCTAATATGATACTTTTGAAATATACATTAATATGACATTTTAAAATGAACATAAAGCTAGTATCAGATGAACATACATCACTTACAAATTGAGCATCGAAAAATTCAAAATCTTGTTTGAATTCTCTAATATGTTTAAATGTTCATTTGTACACATATATTATAAAAAAAATAGTAATTACGAATATAGTTATTTTGTATTAAAAATAATTTATAGTCTTTCTTTATGGAATTGCAAATATAACAGGGTTCATTTTACAATGTTTAGCCATGCTATTTATTTTACACTATACTCATTTTAGCATAACACAAAACTCAGGTTAATTACTCTCTCCGTCCCATTTTACCTGTCTTATTTTCCTTTTTGGGTTGTCCCAAAATAATTGTCATCTTTCCCTTTTTGGAAAGAAATATGTGGTTCACAACATTTCACTTTACTATACTCAAATCTCAACCACAACTTTTACCTTTTCAACCACTTTATTAAAAATTGTGCCTAAATCAAAGGAGACACCTAAAATGTGACAGAGTTAGTAGTAATTAGCACATAATATTTAATAAACTAATAAATATTCATCCTAAACTAAAAATAAAAAATAAGACACTAATACCTTAAATATACATCATAAATTAAAATCAATGGAAAAGGTGTTAAAACAAAAAGGGAAAAAGAAATTAAAAAGAAAGAGTTATGTGAAAGCAAAAACAAAGAAGTCAAATGGAAGATGCTCCGTAGCATATACACGCGCGTAGTGGACTACAGCTGTCAGGGGAAAAAATTAAAAACAGCATATGCGTTATGCGTACGAACGGACGAACTACAGCCTGCAAATCAGAAACAATTACAAAAATACCCGGATGTACAAGTGAGCACTGTACATCTGGGTGTACGGTATAATTTGCGTGCAGGTCACGGGTTCATTATGAGAAGAGGCTCGCTATAGTTCATATTATTTTAGAATTAGGTATAATTTGGGATAAGATTAATATTAGAAGATCTCTAATACGATAGTAGTTTAGATTATGAATGTGAATTTTTCCTACAAATCTACAATATTTGGTGCTTTTTCATTAAGCACTAGATTCTCACCCGTGCGATGCACGGAATAAAAATTAGAAAAAATCATATCATATTATTTGTAAAATAATGCGAATGTACGATAGTTTTACAACAAATATAAAGCACAAATGTACCAAAAGAAAAAAAAAAGATAATGAATATCAAAAGGTTATAAGAATTAAGAAGAGTCAAAGTATATTCTTAACAATATTTAAGAGATTGAAGCACTTAAACTCCTTTTATCATGTTTTAGTACATTATTAGATATCTTGATTCTCGACTCAGCATTATAGAAAAATATAATCTTTATATTTTACTTAATAGAAAAAAGTTTCTTCAACTATTCACAATTGTCAACTCATTCTATTGGACCTTAATACTCCCAGTCCCAACTCCCAATTAGGCTTAATACTCCCAAGGCCGTCTTATTATTTTTAGTGACCATATTTAAAATGTTAGTTTGAGGCCCCTAAAATATAAAAATGTATAATCACATTATTACGTACTACCTCTATCCCACTATTATTGTTCACTTTCTATTCACCTTGTCAATAACAATCACTATTAATCTCTTTATATATCATATTTTTATCAAATTTGATTCTAATTTTTGTCACTGTAAAGATTTTACTGTAGTTTATGAATACTTAATTTTTTTCCTAAAAATAATTTGAGTGTGGAAAGATATCTGTTTGCTTTATCATCGATCAAGCATCATAAACCGGAATGAGACCATAATAGTGGGACGGAGGAAGTATAGTAAAAATAAATACTTCCAAATATATAATCAAAATCAAAATAATGGACATAAATGTGATCAAGTAATTTTAGTATCTATAATCGTATTCAAATTTTACATAATAATAACTTATACACATTTTTGTCATTAAATTTTTTATTAATAATATTTTAGAAAAAAATATAGTAAAAAAACTACACTTTTATGTTGGTCAAAGCTGACAAACTTGTGAGGAATGAAGGGGTACAATTTATACCATAATAAACTTTTGTTTCACAATCATATGAGATTATATGAAATGTCTTTATTTTACGTAGTATTTTTTTACAAAAGCAAGTATTTTTCAAATTGAGGATAAAATACCGTATTATCAAGTACATCATAAAACGGAGGATAAGGATTTCAAATTGAGTATTTTTTATTCATTGACCGCCTCCATTAGAGAAAAGTAATAATATCAAGTTAGCCGCTAACTACCAAACAAAGATAATATTTGTATGACTCAGTCTAAACACTCGTGAATTAATTAGTAAGGCATCAGATTCGCCAAAGCCTCAGCCACAGAAGAAATGTATTCACCTCGCTTTTGAATAGCACCACCTGGCACCTGCCAAAACTTACTTCCCTGATCACGTGCCATCCACACGAAACCGGTGACTCCTGATCCACGCTTAACTGCTGTGCCGATACACGTTTACCTGTTACGCCAATGTTAAGCTTCAATCTCCCAGCATATAGTCTCGTCCATGACTTCAAGCTTTGCTGTCGTTGTTCCTAGACTTCAGGTTGCTGCTGCGCCCTTCGCCAGGAAAGAATCTGCGTCAATTTTAAACGTGCAGCTGAACCATAATTATTATTCCAGAGTTTTGCATTCCAGAAACACATACGGAGTAATAAATTTGTAGCAAGTCATTACTGTTATTATTTGAAACCTCATTCACCTAGTCCGTAAAAGACACCCCTGTTAATATTTAAAACCTCATTCACCAAGCTCCATAGCTGATACGATAATACTTATTGTTGGAATGTATGAAAAGGACTTTCATTCTCCTGACCACACACTATACAAATAGAACAGTCACTCTCCCCCGAATTATAATATCCGTTATGGGCAAACTCTCGAAGCAAAGCTACCAAAAAGACACCTTAACTTTCGGGGGTATATGCAAACCCCACCAAAAAGAGTCCACGGGTTCTTTTTCTCTCTGTCGGACACGTTATGCTGTTGTTGCCGACACAGGACATCCCCCGTCGCAGGAAGGAAATCTGGATCTATTGCAGTTGCGGATTCCAATTTGTCTCATGACTCCCATCTCTTTAGGTTCTCGCCTGCGGCTTTTACAGTGAAAGAGGCGATCTGCACTATTGGGTCTCCCTAGTACTCCCTTACCCTTCAAACTTCAGATTATGGTAGCTTTCCAATTGAAGCTAGCTATCTTTTACACAAAGGATGAGAAACTGCTCCATGATTGGCTCCAAGTTCTTAACATCGGTATCAAGGCGGCTGCTTCTTTGTATCAAAGGGACCTCCTGTTTTACTCTTCACACATCATAAGTACCTGACTACTTGCTCAGTGACATCTGAAATAAACCATGAGCTCACTCAGAAGCTTTCCATTTTGATAAATGTCATAATAGTATCTTCAAAAAGGACAGTTTACGGCTGAAAGACTTGTAACCTCATAATTTGATTTAGTTTTATTGGCATAAATAAAAAGGATGCATATGATATGACCATCCAAATAAACTAACCAAAATTAGGCAGCTGCACCATGTTCTAAATATCATTATAACCATAATAATAGAATGTTTGGATTCCTAGGAAACAATGTTTGTGGATAAAAAAATTATGCATATAGAAACCTAATAATATCATGATAATAATAGCATAACAATCATAAACTCAACATAATGGTTCCACATATTGAAGCAGCATTGCAGCAGTCAAGGTAGGATGAACACAATGGCCGGGAAATCCATATGATATGATCACCCAATTAACGGACCTGAATTAGACACATGCGCCACTCTCATCATAATAACAAAACATGTGTGTTTCTTGTATCCAGATTGTCATGCCCAAGTGGTAATCCTTAAGTGCCAGCCAACACTTTCTAATAGTAACAGTTTCGGAGAAGTGAAATGAAAGCCTGCTCAAAATTAAAGAATTCGTAAAAATCAGGTAGAGTTGTTCATCATCATATTGTTT